CATGTTGACAACTCAGATGCATTCATTCTTTAGGTTTGATTGGACGGACGAGATCAAATGCAATAAACGAACGAGATTTAACCACACTATCAGCCTAAACAGTAAACGATCGAATGGTTTTTCTTGCTCCATATCAACGTAAACGAACGACACATAAGAGGAGAAGAATATTTAAACTCCTCTTCATATGGGAACCCAAACACTAACTGCCAGCCCCCGCCGGAGAAGAAGAACCAGACATCAAAGAAGAATGCCAACCGCCGATCGTCGCCGCACCGAAACCACTGCCGATCGCCAAAAAGAGTAACATTTTCCTCTACCAGCTTGGAATTCGATTCTGAGTTCCCTGTGGCCATATCGGAGCAAGAGGGATGGTGGGTGAGTCGAAAATCGCAGGTAAAACCGCCGCGACTCAGATTAGATCGCGATGGACTGCTCAGATTGGATCGAGTTGAACAGCTTAGATTCACTCCCTATTTAATCGCGATCAGACGGTCCAGATCAAATACGATGGACAACCCAGATAAAAAATAGACGGATATAAATAACCCTCATTCACACCAAACTCTAACCTTAGCCGCTAGATCCCCTCGCCGGAGAAGACGATTCTGCAGCCAAGGAGCCGACTGCCGCCACCCCATCGCACTAGAACCCTTTTCGACCGCCAAAAAAAAGGTAAAAGCTTCCCATTTTGCTCAGAATTCAATTTTAAACACACTCATGATCAAATCGGAGCAAAAGAACCGGCCAATTGGCCGAAAACATAGGTGAAGCTCGGCGGTGTAGCCGCGAAAAATTTCATAAAATACCTCCGATGAGGCTCTTTTCGATTCCCATTTCACGTAATTTTTCCACCATTGTGATCACATTTTCTTCTCTACAGGTTGATCGAAGCAAAACACTCAATCGCAACATGAACTAGAGCAGTCACCACATCGGAGAGCCCCGCAACCGGTAAGTTTCAGTTTTCTATATTTTTTCAGCCAACCGCGGCCTCTAAGTGTGTTTTATCGCAGGGATTGATACAAAATCGGCTGAATTCGGCCAAAAAGGGCCGAAAATAGCTAACTCGAGGCGAACCGCCGCTGGAGCACGGCGAAGCTACCGTGCCAGAATTCTAAAATTGGTTGAGTGGCCCTGGGACTGATTTTGAGTTCGTTTGAAATATTTATAGGTGCTATTAGCGCGTTTCGATTTTTGAAAAAAAAAATTTAAGGAACTCAGGAACCACCCGTAGGCATAGTAAACAGCTTAGCTTTTTGGGCGCCAAATAGAGTAAGGATCCCTCACCCTATTCCCTATCATAGAATTGAAGTCTAAATAAATAATAATATGATATATTGTACAAATTAAATAAATATGCATAATTAATTACAGATTACGAATGGAGCTCGAACTAAAAATTGTTCTCTGTTGATTTATTTTACAGTCTAAAAGTATGAAAGTATCTGATTTATCTATTTTATGATTTGAATGTATGTATTGATGTCTTACGTTACTATTGTTTGATTTGAGATTCAAGATATGATTGCAATAGCTGATGCATGTTTATTTGCTCATGTGATTATGTTTGATTTGGAAATAGAGATTAAAAGGAAACGAAAAAGTTGTGTGATAAAACGAATAGATGAAACGACAGCCTTACTGGATATCCTAGGAGATGGTGAACAGATCGGGTACATAGAAAATCCTACCGTGAGCATTATCTCATACCGGACGGGGTATGAAAACTTGATAATTTGGTGCTCATACCAGACGGGGTATGGGGACGACCCGCTTCGCTCTCATACCGGACGGGATATTAAGGTTTAATAACTTGGTGCTCATACCGGATGGGGTATGGGGATGACCCGTAATTGAGATTGTTAAAGGAAAAAGTTTACGTGTAGCGAGAACATCCCTATGAACCCCTATAGATACTAGTAGGCTGGTAAAAAGAGTAACATTTATGGTTTGATTTATTGACGATATATATAGACTTATAATATATGTTATGTTGCTGATTTTATATGAATTTATGATCTGTATGATATTATTGTCTTTATAGGTTATTTTCATAAAACTCATTATGGTAAGTAAACGGTAAATAATTTAATGATTGATAAATGAATTTGTTAAATTTAGTGCTCCATTAGTGGTTTTCAATTTTATACCAATCTTTACTTCTATGTCGGTGATATAGTGTGATATCCTTACTGGGCTAGTGTAGCTCATCATTTATTTAATCATTTCAGATCAAGAGAACCAGATTCCAGAGCCCGATCCGTAAGAGGATTGCAAGTAGATGCTAGTTTTATTTATTTTTCGCTTATTTTCTTATTTCTTGTATTTCTTTCAAAATGGTGAATTCCGTAATACTATTTAGTACTTTTGAGTTATTATGTAAGGAATATAAATTTTAACCCTTTTATTTCGCTTCCGCACTTAAGTTATTATCTATTTTTTTAAAATATTTCTGAGGTCGTTACACCGCATATATCCTTCCCATTTAAATTTCATCGTCATGCTTTGCCAATCACAAACGACTGTGCCCAATTCAAATAACCACTGTACTCTCAAAACCAAATCTAACACAGTCAATGGTAGTGCATAAAAAGTGAGGAAAAATTTAATACCTTGCGTTTTCACCAAAACCCGTTTAAATCTTCCTCGACATCTCATGGGTTGTTCACTGGCAACTCGTACCAAAAAGGATTCGGTTGGAATGATAGGAAGGTGAAGCTGATTGACGAGTCACTCACTGATGAAATTGTGAGTCGACTGCTGTCTATAAAGACCACTATCTTCTAGTTGTTAATGGAAGTGACAATCTTCATGCTCTGATTGGTCAACCAACCTGAAAAGCGTGAAGAGAAATTTCTGGTTCCTTGGCCCCTGTCATTTCTTCTTCTTCCTCTTCTCATTCGAGTAGTAACAATTGAGGTTTGGGGCACCGATGTCCGACCATGAACTTCTCGTCATGGTTGAAGCATAAACCCTGAGCTCACCATTTCTGCATCTCCTCTCAAAACAATCGTTTGGTCAATTTCAGTGCTGGAGCACCTGGAGACGAAGACGCGATTGTTAGGGTATGTGTATGTGTATTGGAGTTGAGCCGTCCGGTTTGGGTAGACCGTCTTAGCCGGCCTAATTGATTTTCTCTCATCCGGGCCAGACTGATGGCCTCCTTTAGAGACTTGGGCCGAAACAAACGGATCCCATCAGCAATCTCAGGCTTGAGCCCCCCCATAAAGGAGCCAACTAAAGCTTTCTAAGTCCAGCCTCGAACCCTGTTGCCCAAATGCTCAAACTCCATTTGGAATTCTCAAAGTGGGCCAATCTGTCTTAATTTGGATAGGGCTTCATCAACATCTTCATACTTGGTTGGCCCAAAAGGACCCCAAAGTTCATTTGTATACCCGGTCTAGTCCAGCTCCCCTCCTTCTTCCCTTTGTGTCTTCTTCATCCACTACCAGCAGAGATTTACCTCCCCTTCCAGATGAAAAGCCGTCAACGACACCTTGTTTGCTTCCGGGGTATCCTGTAAATTAAAAAATTGCTCGGCCCAACTTATTTATTCGGTGGGATCTGTACCGTCGTAGATCGAAAAGTAGAGGCATCCCAGTCGCGGACTCAATGAGGGTCGGTTTCCTTCGATTTGGTCTTTGCCACCATCTTTGGTCTGCCATGCTTGACTTTGCTGACTGACCGCGTTACTGTTAGAACCTTCCTTGTTGAGACTTAAAGTTCCTATCAATCATCGAAGGGTTTCTTTCATCACGTGAAATTTGTCTGCCACACCGATTTCCATTTGACTGAGGTGATACTGCAAACCCCCCACATTTGCTTCCAATTGTTCGATTCTTTCTTTGTTAGTTGACATACCCTACTCTGATATCAATTAATGTGGTTCCAATAAGAATAAACATAGATTTAAAGACATTTCTCCTTAGGGTGAGAAATCAGCCACAATTTTATTGCTCATTATCCTCTCAATACCTTAGCATACAAGCTTTAAATAGGAAAAAAAAACATAATTCCTTATCTAATACAATAATTATAAATAACTACTAAAAACTATTTAACCTCATCTTCTTTTAAAACTGTTCTAATAACTGTTAAATCATCCATGGTGGTTGAAATATCGAGGGTTGGGCATTTTGGGTCTCTGTGATATGCGTACTGTATCATTGTATGGTTGCTACTTTTAGAATCTTTTATAAATGTATTGATTTGAGTTCGATTGTGTATTTTTTTTATTTATTATCGATGTGTTTTACTATTTAATTAATGAAATTTATATATTTTTATTGAAAAAATATATATTAAAACTAATATAAAAACTGAAACTAATAATTAAAAGTAGAACTAAATGAAAATTGATTCAAACAGCATATCACATAAATTTCTATGCTGATACTTCTTTATATAACTTCTCCATGAATATAAAAATTTGCAGTCACCAAGAGACTATAAAGGATGTCGTAGAAAAAATGGGCGCAGGAATGGCAAAATTTATTTGCAAGGAGGTTTGTACCAATTTAATTATATCCATATATTTATGTATATAATTGTGATGTTTTATTGGCAAAAAGCTTTGCTTGATTTTGTTTATACAGAATGGCAAAATCACTGAAGGGTGATTTATGGCTTATGTGATACGAGCGAAGCAACTTCTTAATTAATTGTATATGCAGGTAGAAACAATTGATGACTATGATGAATATGCAAGCTGTGCTTCAGGACTTGTTGGAATAGGATTATCCAAGATTTTTCATGACTCAGGGTTGGAAGATCTGGTAACAGAGTCTCTCTCCATTTCAACTGGTCGATTTACTCAGGTATGTACACAAATGGATGTATATTGTACCATATGCCTTATCAACGATTAATGTTAGATAGTTTGATAATAACATCTTATTTTCAATGAATAATTAACTGGCAGAAAACGAACATCATCAGAGATTATCTAGAGGATATTAATGAAGTACCCAAGTCGCGCATGTTTTGGCCGCGCCAGATTTGGAGTAAATACGTTCAAAAACTCGAGGTACAAGTCTTCTTGACACTATTAACTTTCTAAAATATAAACAATGTTTTGGCCGAAGCCAATTGAAGAATTTGTCAAAAGTGGTAGGGGCCGTTGGATGGACGTGAACTGTTATGATAATATTTTTACACTAGCACTTTTATTCTCTCCCTTGATACCCTGAATATAGTCTTAGAACTGAATGGAAGCTCACAAAAATTTTGATTATGAATATCAGGATATGAAATATGAAGAAAACTCTAGTAAATCACTGCAGTGCTTAAATGAAATGGTTACAAATGCTCTAGCACATGCACCAGATTGTCTCAGGTGCATCACTGCTTTGCGGGACAGTACCATTCTTCGATCTATCGCAATTCCCCAGGTATAAAATCTTCTATGTATAGGTTGAATATTTAGTTGATTATTTGTAAGATGTAATAGAAGTAATGAAACTCGTGTATGTCTATGAAATTTAAATTTTTAGAGAAGTTGGATACTCACTTATAGTCTTATATTATGTTGAAGTTTGGGATTCTCAGTTCAAGCCTTATTTTCTTTTTGAAAAAAAAAAATAAACGATTATTTCAATGTAACTCTATGCATGAATTAAAGTTTTAAAGATTCGGTATAAATGATAAATTAAATAATTTGTTAACGATCTTAAACTTTCGGAGAGAAAGTTTGTATATATATTTTTTATAATTATGTTTTCTGATAAAATGGATTATCTGTTTTTTACAACCTGATGGCTGAAAACACTATACTTATTTATTTATAAAACTGTTATGTTTTCTCTCTAGCATTGTCTTTTCTTGTGGCTGCTAAGCTTGAAATTTGGACATGCCTTATTGACTTCTCAATGTGCTATCATTTTAATTTGAGAAGCCCACAAGTGTGTACATAAATAAGTGGAACACATATGAACCTAAATTAGCATATTTATGTGTACGTGGTCGAGGCCATTGACAAATGTGTTCTTGACCTTAAGGAAGTTTGCACTAATCAAATACGAAATTTGGTATCATAGGTGATAGTGATTGGAACGCTTGCTTTGAGCTACAACAATATTAATGTTTTCAGATCTGGGGTGAAATTGCAGCGTGGTAAGATAATCAACCTTCAACTGATATCTTAACATATATGACTATTGAGTTTTATAGATAAATAAAATCAGACACCAGAATCAAAAAAAAAATTTAGCACATGACATGAGATACCATATTTCTAAAATCTATTATTTTTTCAGTTGGTTATTTCCTCTCTAACATCGTTGATTTTTGCTTATAGGTCTTATTGCTAGAATTTACTATCAGACAAGAACAAAGGCTGATATATATAAATGGTTCTTTGAATTCTCTAATTTAATAAAATCTAAGGTATTCTTTATCTACTCTCTTCTTTTTAATAATAAAATTAATATAAATAAAATTACAAGTCAATTTAAGAGAAATATTATTATATACATTGGTAGAATAATTTTATTTAAATATTTTTTTTCTAAAATAGAAATTTATATATTCACTTATAGATGATACATAAACACTAATCATAACACAATAGCACATAACTTCTAAACGAAAACATATAAGAGTACAGTGTGATTCAAATTCAAAATATTTTATAAAATAATAAATATATTAACTATTTATATATAAATGTGAATCTTTTTTCTCTTATATTATTAATACTTATATAAAAATTTCATATATAATATTGAAAGCCTTAATGATAGTTTAATAAATATAATTTCACTGGTTACTGTAGGTTCCGGACGACGATCCTAATGCCATGAAGACATTGACTTCGGTAGAAGCGATTCAAAACATCTGCAGGGAATTTGGATATTTAGACAAGAGGTTCACAATTAATTGTTTAAATTTCTGATTATTTTGTCCAGACTTTTAACCAAAGATTGTTTTTTAACCAGAAAAATTTTCTTGTTTTAGGAGTTACAGAGAATACGCTCCAGCTCTGGTAAGTCTTTATATGCCAAATTATATAGTTTTAAATTTTTTAGAATAGAAGTGATAGTTATGTTATGCTGATCATTTTAATGCAGATTGTTGCAATCTCCGTTATAATACTGTGTCGTTTTATATATTTATCCACCGCTCAACCAAACAACTAAGAGTAAGTTATCAATTTAAACTTACTTGGTTCGTACCTTTTACCTTGGTGGATTTGGATTCGAAGTATAGAAATTATTTCCAGTTGAATTGGGTGTCATTTCTTTTTGGCAGGAGTGGAGCGAAAAGAGTTTAATTGTACGAGTAAAAAGTTTTAGAAGGCAAGGAACAAAAATGTCCCATCCACGTGCTTTGTGTTTTCTGTTACGCAAAAACCACGTGCCTATTTATTACGTGCATGTACACAGAAATCAAAACTGGATCGAAATAAATATTATGCGATTCTTTTTTAATTAAATATTACACAAATTAAAAATATTAAATTAATAAAGTTTAAAAAATATGATATTTATATATTCAGTTAAATTATTATTTACTGAATAAGTTAGCATAAATGCCAAAAGTTAATATTTTATTTAATTGGATTTTATCACCTTATAGTTAATCTAAATACAAACTTTTAAATAAATTTTATGAATAATATTTGTGGAGATAGATCAAATAATTTAAATATATAAACTTCGAATTCTCTTAAATAAAAATCAAAACATTGAAAATGCGGGTTTTGAGAAAATTACAAAAAAAAAAAAAAGACAAAGAGTTAAAAATTTATAAGATTTTTTTCTAATAAATATAAAGTATTTGCAATTTAATTACAAAATAAAAACTTTTATTATTATCTAAAAATCAATTTCAATACAGACAGAGAAAAATAAAATCTCAAAACATGTATAAACACTAAATTTGGTATATAATATTCTCAAAATACAAATTAAAAAGAGAAAGAGAAAAAGCTTCAACACCATCTAAAAGCAAATCCAATTCATTCAAATACAAATAATTACTCAAAAGCCTGATTAAATACCAAATTTATTTCATTAGCCATTATTAAACACTATTATATTACATTAATTTATTAGTGTGATATATATATAATGAGGACTAGTTACAATTAATGTTTTTGTCTCATTAGTAATCCTTAATTACAATTATATCAAAAAATCAAGGATATTAATTCTTTACTACAACCATTAACAACAATAAATAAATAAATAAATAAGATAAAGAAATTTAATTATTATATATATATATATTAATAATTAAATAAAATCAGTGCACCATTACCAATACAAGCTTTACTCTTTTTTATTTTTATTTTTTTGAAGAATAAAAAAAAAACAAACATTTAGACTTTTCCCAGTAAATAAATCATAATATTCAATTCATTTATACAAATATGGTATTATAATAATTTGTTAATGCAGAAAAATGTGGGATGAATTTGATGATGGTGGATGTCAGTAGAGGATGATTCCTCCAAATTTTATATAAAAGCATATTATTAAAGTACTTAAATAAAATTTAATTTATTGATTAACATTTCAAAATCTTTGAAATTATGTTACCAATGTAACGTATTAATGATAATCATATAATATATATATATATATATAGAGAGAGAGAGTAACTAACTTTGGGCCCCACAGCGCACCCTCATCCCTCCCTCGTGCAGTGGTTCTATATACATGAAGTTTGTTGGAAGAGAAGAAATGCGGAGTTGCAGATCGAGATGGGGAGGTTGGGAACAGAATTAATGCGGGATGCTGGAAACATTTACTGGCTACTGAAATTGAAGATGGAGATCAGAAGCGCACAGAAGCAGATTCGTGATAAGAACAACAGCCATTGGGCTTACTGCTACACTTTGCTCCACTCTGTCGGTCCCAGTTTCGCCATGGTTATTCAGTTGCTCAACACTGAGCTTCTCGATGCTGTAAGTATATATAACTTTTCAGATGTACACTCGAACGTATACCACACATGTATGCCGTATAGATCTTAATTAATATCTAAAATTATGCATATTTTTCTCTGTCGATCTGGAGATACAACATGTTAATGATTCATGTTGTGAGTGTATGTGTATCACCATACATATAATTATAACTCAGTACTCCATGATGTGAAATGAACTTGTCGATTTAAGGCATAAGAGGTGGATTATCGTGCCGCCTTCGCATATGCGTATATAATGGATAAAAAATATATAGATGGAGAGATCTGTTTGCAATCTCCTATTTTCTCCACGAGATGAATTAGGAGTGCGGATATCGATTCAGGAGTGTGAACATTACTTTTCGCTCATTATAATACTAAACACACACACACACACACACAGCAATATCTTTTGATTGAGGAGCTACCAAATTGGTCATCCTCATCTTTTTCTTCACCTGTGAATTTTTCAAACGTGTTCAATGAAGTTTCTCTTTCCTTCAAAAAAATATATAAACTAATCAGCTTTTTATTTTTTGCAGTGTTTATCAATTTACAATTAAAATATTTATAATTTTGTTATAAATTAGTTTTGAATATCCTTTATATATAAATTAAAAATTAGCTGCTTCTTATAAAAACAAATTGCAAATATTTAATCACTAAATTATGGAAAATAATTAAAATTATTTCATTGAAATATTTTTGATAGATCAAGTTCTTGATTATAAAAAAAGAAACTAATTTATATTTGAAAAAAAAATTGTGGTATGCATATATAACTATATGAAATTGTCCTTTTTTTTTTTGCAGGTAGCCATATTTTACCTGGTTCTCCGAGCTCTTGACACTGTTGGTATGCACATCAATCATTGTACATATATCTTCTGCAAATTAATGATGTATTGTACTCCACATTTTAGGACTCTGTTTATAGTAAGCTATCGTTCCTTTATCTTTCTATTAATAGCATTGAACTTTCTTCATATACAGCATTTCTTCCAATTAATTATAATCTTAAGCTTTCTTCATAGACAGTAATTAAAGGATGTGTCTAATTAATTGTTTGCTATTTATAAATATGTTGGTATATTTTATTTCAGTCTATTTATTTGGTACTATAAAGCATATATGGGCTTTACATGTGCCTGGTTCACCTTAAACATGAAGGTAATTACCCATTCTCTATTTTCTTTTTTAGAAAACCTTCTCTAGATATTGATTTAAACTAATCATTTTTTAACATATTTAAGTAATAATTTTTTTTTGTAACATATTAGTTTTGAGAAAAATACATAATAAATACCTGATTTTTTCAATAAATCTCCATGTAAATATGTAACTGTTACTGAGACGTGTATGTATATATCCACTTAATTAAGTTTGACCAACTTCTAAGAAAAAACTAATTCTTATCAAATATCTTTGATTAAAGAAAGTCCGTTTTAAATATTAATTAAGATAGCCCAATTTCTTTTGCAGAGGATGATACAAGCATACCAATAGAGGAAAAAGTACCAATTTTGAAAGACTTTCACCGTCACATGTACGACCACAAATGGCAGTTTTCATGTGAGGATTCTGTAGTGCTATTTTCAACTCTATTGATCATATTAACTTCGCTTCATATTCCTGGCCCCCTATTTAGCTTAGCTATCTCTTGTTTTTGTCTACACAGGTGGTACAGACTGCAGAATTCTTATGGAGCAATTTCATCATGTCCGTGCTGCTCTCCTCGACCTCAAAAAATGGTATACAGTGGGTGCACCTTGAAAGATTATTATGCTGGTTAAATTCGTTATTCTAATTCTTATTCATCTTAATATACATATAATATATTGTGTTTTACCATTTTGTTTTGATTTCCTTTATCATAATAATCAGTTCCTATATGAAAATAATTAAATTCAATTTTTATTAACAAAGAATTCAAAATGGAGTATTGGTTCTTAATTTAAATATTGTAAATTATGATTTAATATGCATACTAAGACCACCAGTTCTTTGGTTGTATGATTCCTATTTTCAAAATCTTCCATAAATGGTTTGATTCAAATTTGACTGCACATTATTGTACTAGTATTGATGTGTTGTACCGTTTAATTAATAAACTAGATAAATTTTTACTGAAAAATATATATTAAGAATAATATAAAAACTGAAACTAATAATTGAAAGAGAACTGAATGAAATTTCTATGCCAATACATCTTTACATAACTTCTGCGTGCATCTAAAAATTTGCAGTCATCAAGAGACTATAGAGGATATCACAGAAAAAATGGGTGCAGGAATGGCAAAATTTATTTGCAAGGAGGTCCGTACCAATTTATATAAATCCATATATGTATATGTGTGTGTATATATATATATATATATATATATAAACATAATTTGTGACGTTTTATCGGCAAAAAGCTTGCTTAATTTCTTTTCTGCAGAATGGCAAAATCACTGAAGGGTGATTTATGGCATATGTGATATGAGCAAAGCAACTTCTTCTTAATTAATTTTATGTGCAGGTAGAAACAATTGATGACTATGATGAATATGCAAGCTGTGCTTCCGGACTTGTTGGATTAGGATTGTCCAAGATTTTTCATGATGCGGGATTGGAAGATCTGGCAACAGAGTCTCTCTCCATTTCAGCTGGTCGATTTATTCAGGTATATATATATTTATATATAATATCATATACCGTAGCACTAATTAATATTTATAATTTGATAATAACATTTTATTTTTAATGATTAATTAACTGACAGAAAACAAATATCATCAGAGATTATCTAGAAGATATTAATGAAATACCCAAGTCGCGTATGTTTTGGCCCCGCCAGATTTGGAGTAAATACGTCAAGAAACTTGAGGTATAGATTTTCTTGATATTATTAACTTTTAAAAAATATGAGCTACGTTTAGGCCGAAGCCAAAGGAAGAATTATTGCAAGAGGTGTGGCTGTCGGATGGACGTGAACTATTGTGATTTCGTTTTTTACACCAGCACTTCTATTCTCTTCCTTGATGCTCCGATTATAGTCTTATAACTGGATAGAAGTTCATGGAAAATTTTGAATATCAGGACCTGAAATATGAAGAAAACTCTAGTAAATCACTACAGTGCTTGAATGAAATGATTACAAATGCTCTACCACATGTACCAGATTGCCTCAGGTACATGACTGGTTTGCAGGACAACGCTATTCTTCGATTTGTCGCAATTCCCCAGGTACAAGGTCCTCTAGCTATAGATTGAATATTTACTTGATTACTTTTAAGATGTAATATAAATAATAACTTTTGTAAATGTCTATTAAGTCAAGTTTAAATTTTTTAAAAATTTAAATACTGACTTATGATCTTATATTGTACTTTAAAATTTGAGATACACATTTCAAACTTTTTTTAAAAAAAAACAAATATAACTATTTCAATGTAACTCGCGTGTGATGTAAATTTTTAAAGATTTAATTTCTTAATGAACTTATTCTTTTCAAATGGTGTTTATAACTTGTTATTTTTAATTACATTCTCCAATAAAATAGATTCTCTATTTTTTATAACTTGAAACTTGAAAATGTTATATTTATTCTTTTATAGAACTGTTACGTTTTCTTTTATAATTGTTGGGGTAAAACGTAATTTACTGACTGCTTATGATGCTGAATTCACTTTTTAATTTTTAACTATTATTGTCTTTTCTTATATCTGCTGAATTTGAAACCTGAACATGTCGTTTCTTTTTGTAACTGTTGGGATAAAACGTAATTTATTGACTGCTTATGATGTTAAATTCACTTTTTCTTTAAGTATGTTTGTCTTTTCTTATGACCGCTGAGATTGATACCTTGACTTCAATATGTTCTCATTTTAATTTGAGAAGCCCCTAGTGTATACATATACAAGAGGAACACATGAATTTGGATTAGCATGCTTATGTGTATGTGGTTGAGGCCACTGGCAAATATGCTATTGTCCCTGCAGAAGTTTGAACTAATCAATTACTAAATTCATTACCGTAGGTGATAACAATGGGAACGCTTGCTTTGAGCTACAACAATATTAATGTATTCAGATGTGGGGTGAAATTGCAACGTGGTAAGATAATCAGCCATGGACGACGAATATCTTTGCTTGCTATATATTTGAATCCAGTCTAATTTAATATTTTCTCTGTAATAATTTATTTTTAAATTAAAAATATATATGAATATTGAATTTCATATAAAATTGAAATCAGACACCACAATTAGAAAATACTTTAGCACATGGTACGAGACATCTTGCTTATATTCTATTATTTTTTTGAGTTGGTTCTTTCTTCTCTGACATCATTGTTTTTGGCTAACAGGCCTTGTTGCTAGAATTTTTTTTCAGACAAGAACAAAAGCTGATGTATATAAGGCGTTCTTTGAATTCTCTAATTTGATAAAATCTAAGGTATCCCTTGTCCACTCTTCTCTCTTGAATAATGAAATTAATACAAATAGAATTGCAAATCAATTTATTAGAATATTACCATATACAACATTAGAATATTTTTCTTTAATAATCTTTTTTTTTTTTTTAAGATAAAAATTGTACAATCATTAATACATAACACATTTTTTACACAATCTCCAAAGAAAAACACATGAAAATATGATATGATTGAAATCTAAAATTTTTTTCTTAAAAAATGAACACACTAATCATTCATGTATGCATATAAATCTTTTATTCTTTTACATTATTAATAATTGTGCAAAGTTTTCGCATATAACATCAACAATTTTAATGATAGTTCAATAAATATGATTTTACTGGCTACTGTAGGTTCAGGACAACGATCCTAATGCCATGAAGACATTGACTTCGATAGAAGCAATACAAAAGATCTGCAGGAAATCTGGATATTTAGGCAAGAGGTTCGCAATTAATTGTTCAATTTTTTTGATTATTTTGTCAAGACATTTAACCAAAGATTATTTTTTAACCAGAAAAATTTCTTTGTTTTAGGAGTTACAGAGAATATACTCCAACTCTGGTAAGCCTCAATATGCCAAATTATACATTATTTAATTTTCTAGAATAGAAGTAATAATTATGTTATGCTGATCATTTTAATGCAGATTATTGCATTCTCCGTTATAATACTTTGTCATTTTATATATTTATCCACCACTCAACCTAACAACTAAGAGTAAGTTATCAATTTAAACTTACTTGGTTCATACCTTTTACCTTGGTGGATTTGGATTTGGATTTGAAGTATAGAAATTATTTCCAGTCGAATTGGGTGTCATTTCTTTTTGGCAGGAGTGGAGCGGAAAGAGTTTTAATTGTACGAGTAAAAAGTTTAAAAGGCAAGGAACAAAAATGTCCCATCCACCTGACAGTTCTTAGTAATCATATTACGCCTAGCTTGTATACAATATTCATGTTGTCTTATCCAATCTTAAAATATACTTGTATGTACGTGTCCATGTCTGTATACAGTATGTATTCACACACACATTATATATGTCTGTGTATGTATTTATGTACTCTGAGCCTGAACTTTAACAAGCTAATCATGTCAAGTTGAATAGTTGTGTTGAATTCTCGTACTTCATATGGGTTTTGAGCTGGAAATTATAGATTTGGAAATAATAGAAACTTTTTTACCAGTAACTTTTACCATTGACACGAACTATTCTGTTTAATCATCAAAATGGGTTATCTACATTTTCCGACACACATGACAAAGTTTATGGAGACGTCTCAAGCTGTCCTTTATTACTGATCCATCTTAGATCAATGAAGTATATATATATATATATATATATATATATATATATCTTACTTGACTGTTGACAAGGCATGTGAAAAAAGAAGGTGTTCTGATACTGGATCATAGATTTATATTAATCATAAATAATATAATTTTCTTTATCACGATTTATACATTTCATTAATATACATCAATTATAATATAATTTCTTAAACAAACAGGAGTGAATATTATTTGGTCCAAAATTGAGAAATGAGACTGAACCAGCGAGTTTGGTCTGAATTTGGGTCCGATCCAAGTTGATTAATATTTTTTATTATTAATAATTTAAATAATAAACATATAAATAAAAAATATATAGTACATACATTATATAAATAAAATATACTTTGAATGTTTAAAATTAAAATATTAATGTATAAATAATATATTTAAAATTTCAAATATATTTTGGTCAACTTCAATCTAAAACCAGATCAAACTCAAAATTTTAGTTTTTTATATTTGGTTTTAGTCGTAATCCAGTGCATCATTCACCTCTATAAATAAAATTGTATATGACATACAGGTTTGATTTGAATTTATAAACCATTTATTAAAATAGTGAAGTACCAATTTGGTAAATAATTAGGAAGATGTTTATAATTAGTTGTAAGTATATATATTAATTGTATGATTCATTAATTATAAAATAAACAAGGCAGAGCTAATGAATGCTTTCTGATAAGCAAGGTCGTACTAATAAATGTTCATTTACTTTCAAGTTGGTCCTCATTAAATTATTATATTGAAAGTCATGAGTGTTCAAGTGACTCGGTAATCCCGCAATCACCATCGTCACATAAAATATTGCATTAATTTCCAATTTTAATATAACAAATATAATTTCTTATCTTGACCAAAAATTAAAAAAGCACATTTTACTCTCCCCATAAGCTCAAAATTTCCACACACTTGTAATTATTATATTAAGGAGATTGTGAGCCTAAGCTACCACTTTTAAGGTGGTTGCTTCTAAAATTTTAAAATTACTAAAAATAAATAATGATATGATATTACTTAAAATCAACATCTAAATAGGTGGAGTTAAGTATATTTTGTATTTAGGGTATTAATTAATATATTTTATTATAAACAGCCGAAATCTTAAAAAAAAAATGAATTCATAAAATTAAATGCGGAAATAATTAATAGAGTTAGAGTTTATATTTCTTACACAATAATTTAGAATGCCCAATAGAGTTACGAGAATGTTCTTTCTAAAAGATAAACGGTAATTAAAAATGAAAAGAAAGCGAATACAAAAGTACCATAGGACTACATTCACTAACACTTGAAGGGAGTCCAGATGATGAACTACTCACAACCTTCTTACTGATCAGGATTTGGATCATGATCCTCTTGATCTGAAATGATTAATGAAAAGATAAATTATACTAACCTAATAAGAATATTACACTAATCACGGACACAAAAAACTAAAGATTGGTAAAATTCAGAAAAATAACTAATGGAGCCCGTGCTTTATTTAAATACCTTTAAACTTAAAAACGTTTGTTTGATACTTACCGTAACAAATTTTCCAAAAACAACCTATGAAGACTCATATCTATACAAACTTTCACTTTCACGCATAAAAGAATAAGAGACAATAACTTTTCTTTTTTACCTACTTACTGGTACCATTAGGGGTCCATAAGAATGTCCTCTCTTACTCGTGAATCTAATATCCAATTTTACAGTTAACCACCCGTCCTCATACCCCGTCCAATAATGGGTGTCAAACATTCCATCGTCTCGATACCCCATCCGATGTGAGGGTGAATCATATCTTCCAAACTTTTCTGGTAAGGGACTTTTCAGCCCCGTCCAACTGAGGTAACATTCACAGTAGAGTTTCCTATGTACCAGGTCCATCTGCCCTTTCCCTAGGTACCCAGTAAGTTTTTCACATATAGATTTTCATCAACAAACCACCAACAAACGCATACTAATATCTCATATTACATATACATATCAATTAAACTATATTCATACTAACGGTATATAACCAAAATAATCAGATAAATTGATAAAACCATTAAAACTATAAATTAAGAACATGTATTATATGAAAATCAAGCAAATAGGACAGTGCAAAAAAATAAACAGAAAATCAAGATAATTATGAACTAACTGGTTTCGACTTCACCAGTAACCTGTAATTATTTTTAAGATTTTCTAATTTTTTATAAAAATACAAAATTATATATCGTTAAGTTTTAATTTACCATAACGGAGAATATGGTGAGGATTCTTACTCGGATAGGTATTTCAAGATGTCGCACTGTTTACCACGCTTCCTAATGGGTATCGAGTTCCTTAAATTTTTTTTATGAAATTCAAAACACTCGTCACGTACCTCAAAAATCTAAAATCGGTGTCCAAAACTCTTTCTAACCAATTTTGAAGTTCCGACACGGTAGCACTGCCATACTCCGGCGCCCACGACGGTGGTTTGCCTTGGTTAGGTTCGTTTTGACCGGTTTTGGCTGATTTTATACGTATCTCTGCGAAAAAACATGTTAGGGGGCCTCAGTTGGCCGAAAAATTACCAAAAACACCGAACCTACCGGCGGAGGGTCACTAGGTGCAACAGCTCCGCCAGTCCTTCTTTGTGGCTGAGGTTCATTCTTCGGCTAACCTGCACAAAAAATGATGGTGAACATAATGATAAGAAAATCACGTGAAACGAGAATAAGAAAAGGACTCATCGGAGAAATTTTGAGGTTTTGGCCGCGACAGCTTTACAGAGCTTTGCCTGCAGTTTCCGGTTCACTCGTCGTCCCTCTTGCTCTGATTAAGCAAATTCGTTTATCATAAGAAAAATAATTTATTACATACTTATCGTTGTGAGATTTCTAAAATCGATCTATAGAGACAATATCTCAAATAACATTATGATCTCATATTCAAGTGAACAAGAACAACAATTTTCTCTTTTTTGTTTTGTTTACTAGTATCTCTGGGGGTCCATAGGGGTGTCCCACTACACGTGAACCTAATATCAAAATTTGTCAACTAACCGACTGTCCCCATACCCTGTCCGGTATGAGCATAAAAAATATCATCCCTCGATACCCCGTCTGCTATGAGGGTGAATCAGACCTTCTCCATACCCCATTCGGTATAAGCACCAAAAATATCATCCATCGATACTCCTTCCGACATGAAATAACATTCACGATAGAGTTTCCTATGTACCCGATTTATCTACCATCTCTCAGGATATCCAGTAAGACAACTATTCATTCATTCACATAACCAAACAGTTTTTCATTTGTATATTAATTTTAAATTTCACAAATTAACCGTAAATCATGCAAGACAAGTGATATATACATCAAAGAAGCACAACTGAATCATTTAATTATTTCAATATATTATCATGTATTTAAAGCTGTAAAATGAAATAATCAGTTAAACATGATAAATAAATAACTAATCGATTTCGATTCAATTATTGACATGTAATTATTCTTAAAGTTTTCTAAATTTCATAAAATATCATATTATTAATTATTAAACTTCAATTTCATAACAAGGAATAAGGTGAGAGATTCTTACCCGAATCGGTGTCTGAAACACCGAACTTTCTACTACGCCTGCTGGCGGTCCCCGAGTTTCTTGAATTTTTTTGCGGAGATTAAAACATGCTTCATGTACCTAAAAATACCCTAAAAATTCAAAATTGGTGTTAAAAATCTTTTATGGCCAATTTCAGAGTTCCAGCATGGCGGCACCATCATGCTCTAGTGACGGCACCACCACCCGCGACGGTAGTTTGTCTCGACCTGGTCGTTTTCGGTTGGTTTTGGCCAGTTTCGACCACCTTTATACATATCCATGTGAAAAAATACGTTAGGAGGCATCGGTTGACCGAAAAAATAAAAAAACAGAAACTTATCGGTGGTGGAGTTTTCTGGGTGTGGCAGCTTTGCCGGCTCACCTTCGCAGTTGAGATTTTTTCTTCCGTCAACCTGTCGAAAACAGAACGATGAACACAATAGTGAAAAAATCACACGAAACGGGAAACAGGAATGAGTTCATTGGAGGGAGTTACGGGTTTTGCCCGCGACAGCTCCGCCCGTAGTTTTCAGTTCACCCGCCGTTTGTTTTGCTCCGATATGGTACAGGAGTGCTCGGAATCGAATTCCGAGCAAGTAGGAGAATTTTTACCTTTTTTATGGTCAGAGGTGGCTCTGGTGTGACGACGGTCGGCGGTCGATGGTCAGTTCCCTTCTTCGGCGACTGGTTCTTCTTCTCTGGTGGGAGGCTGGCGGTTAAGGTTCGTGTTCAGTGTGATACGAAATATTTATACCTACTTTGGGTGAATTTGGACCGTTCATCGCATTTGATCTCGACTGTTTGATTGCACCTAAGAAAAAAATGAATCTAGACCATTCATCACGTTTAATCTCAACCGTCCAATTGCGCCTAAGGGAGAAACGGATCTGGACCATCCATGCGCGCGGGATCGCTTCTATGTCGTCCGATCGTGGGGCACGCAGATAGCCAGCATGACCTCCCGCGTGGCACCGAGTCAGCATGCCTTGCCACGCGACACACTCTAATTCGTTGAAGGTGCTGACTGGGCAGTCCTACGTGGCTAAATTTTTTTTATTTGCATTCTGACTCTCAGTTTCTGATTTTTCTTTCAAAAACACCATCCGAATCTAAATTTTAACCCATTTTTTTCAAAATTATTTTCAACCTCATCCCTAATTTATTTTTTTTCCAAATATAACAAAAATTTCATTAAATTAATTTATAAAATATATTTTTTATACATCTTTAAATTAACAAAATTTTATCCCAGACCAATTTTTCGGACCCGAGAATTACAAATAAAACAGCAAATACTTTTCAAATATTTTACAAAGATACTAATAGTGATATTCAATTTGTGTGAAACAAATATTCAATATTAGAAACAAAAAATTAGTAAATCAAAACAAATTTTTTTTAACAAATCTTCAGTTTACTCAAACACAAACCATTTATATTAACGTTAAGAGACTCACAATAAGACAAGAGTTTCTCCAGACATCTTAATGTGGAGTCAGAAGTCCCTTCTACAGAGTGGTACAAGCTCAATACCTATGGTTTCAGTTATGGTGATCCAAATCATGCCTCTGCATGAGGTTTAATCCAAAATAGTCAAGAAAGATTAGGGGTTAGGTTCATAAGCAACACTTTGACTAGTTGCCTTATGAATGGTGAGTTATAGAATGCTCTTGAGAGTTTTAAATTAGTTTGGTATGAAGGCATCAAGAAACAAGTCTTGAAAATAGACTTGTTATTAGTGTACAATCTATTTTAACATAGAAAATCCAATACTCATTAGATTAGGTCATTGAGCATCAAGCTAAAAAACTACTCTCTTGTAATTAGGATATTTAGGTTTCTCGTGTCCATAGAGAAGACAATATGTACGTTGATTGTCTTGTTTTCTAGATCTCCCACCTCCCCATATGATGCACGAGAGTGAAGCAGACTCTCGATGCCCTCGATTATTATTTATTTATAAATAATTATGATATTATTTGAACATATCTCATTATACATTAATTATTTATTATTTTTCCAGTGAAAAAAGAGATTAAAAAAAAATCTTTAGATTATTTTGCCTTTTCTTGTTAAATATAATTTTTTTAAAACTTTTTTGCTTTAGAAAAATTAATTTTTTTCAATTTCACCAATTACACACATTCCTTTAAATTTCATAATTATATAATAAAAATAAAAAAAGGAAAAACAACTGAAAGACTGGTTTGTTTTTTTACCCCTTTCCTTTTTTTCCTTCTTTCCCTCGAAACAAGGCAAAGAACTTGGTAAAAACGCAATACAAAAACAGGCCTTCGCTGGGCCAACGCCTAGCTGCCAGAATATCCCGATTTATACAACCAGGACAAAGAAACAAAGACTAAAAAAAAATATTCCAATTTTTCCTCACCATAACTCCCATTACGGTTCCCAGCCCCAAAATCACTGATCGATTTCGTGCTCAAACTATTTTATTGCGCTGATTCGAAGTCAAATTCGCCACAGTTCTGAAAAAAAAAAAAGAACAAGAAAGAAAAAACTCAAATAGCACAGGAAGTAATCGAGTTTGAATAAGAAATTTATTTTATATTTCTATTTGTTTTTTTGTTAAACATCCTTTCCTCTTTAACTCTCAACTATTTGGTTAATTTTGATCATTAAAAATTGATAGGCACCATTTTAGACAAAAATCCTCTCATCATTTCCTCTACATTGGGTATACCGTCTATTCCAAATCAAGCAAAACCCAGTTTCCAGTTTTCCCAAATTTCTCCTTGTTGAATTTCTCGGATCTGATTTCTGGGTGTCTGGTTTTTTCTCAAAGATGGGGAGTTTGGGTGCGATTTTCAAACACCCAGATGATATTTACCCTCTTTTGAAGCTAAAAATGGCTGCCAGATACGCAGAAAAGCAGATCCCACACGAGCCTCACTGGGCTTTTTGCTATACCATGCTTCACAAGGTTTCTCGCAGCTTTGCTCTCGTTATTCAACAGCTCGGCACGGAGCTCCGGAACGCTGTAAGTATCAACATCCCCTGCATGTATATGTAAATGAGCTCATATCTGCATGTAGTTACGTGTGTGTTCGAGGTCTGTTTGCCTGACTTTGTGATGATCGATGACGGTGGACGAATTTTGATTGGGGTTCTGTTGATGATTTTGCATTTGAATTCATCGCATCCTTACATTTTACTTTTAAGACTTGTTTGTTTTCAGTGGAATTTAGGCTCCCTGTTTTTCTTGAAAATATAGTTTTTGTTTTTTCTGAAAATTCATGTGTTTATGTACATGAAATAACTAAAATACCAAAGTTTCTAGAAGATATTAAAAATTAACATTTTAGAATTTTATATTCATCCTTATTTCTACCATTGTTTTCTTCGTTATCAATTTAGTTCTGTAATTTTATATTTCAAAGAAAATTAAGTTTTATAATGTTGTTGCAAATGAAATACATATTGAATTTAAAAAATGAAAAGTTAAAAAAACCTTTTCATGTAACAATCAGATTCTTGTTGATGTTATTGATAGTGGTATAATAGTGATGTTTAATGGCGGATTTGTGTATTCAAGTTAGAAGTTAACTGTGCAAATTGTTACATAAACTGGAAGTAATTAGTTCTACGACTCAGGCATGTTGGCATGTTGAAGTTAATGTTTACTTTTATTTAAAGGAAAACGCTTTTGTAATCTTGGTGAATTGTCTCGGTGCTAAGCTTTGCCTGCACAAACCTTGACCTGATGATCTCACTAAGGCTGGATTTAGTGATGAAGATGAAATTAAGCTATTTTGTGTTTGTATGCAAGGTTTAAGGCTTAGTTGAATTGAATATGTTACCGAGAGAGTCTGCCTTCGCAGGCAGAGCTCATTTTGTGCATTAAGACTCTTTTCAGTTATTGAAAACATATATTCTGGGGTTAATGTTGATAAAGCTTTTAATGCATGTTCTAACACTTGCTCATTGCTTGAACAGATTTTTCTTTTCTTTCATACTAATTATCTGATCTATGTGAGAGGCTTATGAGTTATGACCAATATACTCTGTCTTTCTTGTGGCATTTATATCTTTTTTTTTTGAGCAATTATTTTCTTTTTCTTTCCTGATTTTAAGGATATCTTTCTGTGTTATGCAGGTATGCATATTCTATTTGGTTCTTCGAGCCCTTGATACTGTTGGTTTGTCCTGTCAATCCCTAACCTTATATTTGCTATGCTTTTTCTCATTTTCGTTCTGGTAAATTGAAGTTGGCTATTAGTGTTCTAATTCTCATTTCGACCCAACTATCTTGTGATTTTCCAACACACAGCTTCTTGTAGCTTATCATGATAAAAGCATATGTGATTTGGTGTATAGTGGAGGCAGGGGTGGAGGGATTCTGGGGCCATCTCTTTTCAGATAAATATATCCATGCTTCTTGTATGATCTGGATGCGTTTTTTATTTACTTTATAATTGCGGAGGGCGCTGATAACATTTGGGATTTCTAATTGGAGGTATATATTGACACTAAATTTGGAAATTGGATGTGTTGAAAAATGATGATAAATGTGGGTCCCGCTGTGTTTTTCCTGTATTTTCCCACCTTCTGGTCTTTTTGTCCTTTTTTTGTTGAATTTTGAAATAATAGGGCCACATTGAGCACCATGCCACAATTTACCTAGTCATTTTCCCTCTGTAAGACAAAGCTCCTCACCCACATTGCAGTCATATAGACTGCCATAGTTACTTCATCATAATATTTTTTAATTTTTAATTAGAATATATTATTATGAGATAACTGCATGTACTGATTTCTTTTCCAGTTGGTGACTTCTAAACAATTGAGATGCTATTTGCTTTTACTTCTTGTTGCTGCTTAATGTGGATTATTCATAAAAAGTTGGGGACATTTCTAATTTCTCCATTATCTCCTGCCTCTTTTTCCTGTGTTCAACTTATATATTCTCATGGCTAATGGGATCACTGGTTTTTCTACAGAGGATGACACAAGCATAGCAACTGAAGTTAAAGTGCCAATCCTGATAGCTTTTCATCGTCACATATATGATTCTGACTGGCATTTTTCTTGTGAGTGTTATGAGATTTCGTTCCATCATGTTTTGATGTACCTGTCTGTGATTTCCTTGATTCTGTGGACTGGAGAAGCTGCATGTAACATTTTGTTGACAGACAAGTTGTCTGTTGAATTATGTGAAAGACAAAAGTAATGCATATTCACTTTATTATACTTAAAAAAAACTTCTATGTCGCCAATTTGCGGTCATTTCTACTCAATTTTAGGGTGAGAGGTTCTTCATTTCTCTATACATTTTTTTCATCCAAGATTATGTATTCTGTGTTCCATTTAGCTTCAGTTCTTTTAAGTTTTCTTCTTGGAGCATTGGCTTTATTTGTTACATTGTCATTTTTTACTGACAAACAAGTTCAAAAATGAAGCCTTACGCCCTTTACATTGTATATAAGTTGTTTTGTATGGTGTTTGCATGTTAAACAGAGTCTCTTTTTGCTTACTGAAATAGTTGCTTGTGCGAATTTAGGTGGTACGAAGGACTACAAAGTTCTCATGGATCAGTTTCATCATGTTTCAACTGCTTTCCTTGAGCTTGGGAGAAGGTAGTTTTTTATCCTTTGCTCTATTACTTGATTTACATGGATCTTCCTTATATATGAGGTTATTTATTTCTTTTTTAAGGGTGTTCTTCAAATTGATCTGATCATAAAATGGATCATTTTAAAACTTTGTACGGCTCCTGGAAAATGCAATGTTATAGCAATTGCCAGAAATATATATTTATATACTGTCCCACTCCCTGTCTGTTGAGCTTCACCTTATTTCCCCTATTTGCCTGCTTAGGTGTGCAGTTGCAAATATCACTTTTTTCCCTTACCGTGCCTTTTCACATTAAAGAATTTAGTTATAAATTATGCAGCTACCAGGAGGCAATTGAGGACATTACCAAAAGAATGGGTGCGGGGATGGCAAAGTTCATTTGCAAGGAGGTTTGTGATCATGTTGAAACATGGATGAATTCTTCATATTTTCATATCATGTTTGACATTTTATGAGCTGCATGCTGTCAGGTCTTCCTGAAGTAAAAGAATGAAATTCTTTTTTTTTTTTAAACTGTAAGGATGCATAGCTTTGAAATAATAATCTCTGAGTCTAGTTTCTAACGTCTGCATTATGCGGTCATCATATGATGGTGAAATATGGCTAGTTACATTTCATGATCATTTTTTGTCCGATCTAACATCTCAAACTTAATTCAGACTTATCCTATGGCCATTTATTGGCATATGTTACGTAAGTCGCCAATTTTGACTTATGAAGCAGTGGTCATCTTTCAGGCAGAAAAGTGAAAATTTGACAGTAAATTTAAGATATCCATAATGAGAAAATCAAACATTTGATCAAGGGCTGAAAAATTGATTTATCCATTTCACTGCCTGTCGGGAATTTATCCTAAAAGCTCTAGGCCAAAATTTCTATGTCATCCGCATGCAATCAAGCATGCCTAGGTGTGAAACCAGCAAACTTCTTCTTGCCTTCCAGGTGGAAACAGTGGATGACTATGATGAATATTGCCACTATGTGGCAGGACTTGTTGGATTAGGCCTGTCCAAGCTCTTCCAAGCCTCTGAATTGGAAGTTCTAATTCCAGATTCAGATCAACTTTCCAACTCAATGGGTTTATTTCTTCAGGTATCCTTTTTATGTATGAATCAGACCCATTTTTCTTCAATTCATCTTGGTTCCTGTGGTTCCAAAAAACTGAACTTCTGGAAATTCAATGAATTGCAGAAAACAAATATTATTCGGGATTACCTGGAGGATATCAATGAGATACCAAAGTCACGCATGTTCTGGCCGCGGCAGATTTGGAGTAAATATGTTAACAAACTTGAGGTGTAGTTCAGTATTACACACCATGTTCATGTTCTGATCTTATCATCTCAATAATTTATGATTGCCACTATAATGATGTTTTCCTATTTGTTCCTCCTTATCTTTTCTAATTGACTTTTCCCTAAATGGCATTGTGTCCTCAGGACCTGAAATATGAGGAGAACTCAGTAAAGGCAGTCCAGTGTTTGAATGACATGGTCACTAATGCTTTGCTACATGTGGAGGATTGCTTGAAGTATATGGCTGCTCTGCGAGATCCTGCTATCTTCAGATTTTGTGCTATACCACAAGTAAGACATATAAATCTCAATAATGCTTATCCACCACCCAGCTTTGATATTTGAGCATTGAGTCCTGAATTTCATGATATGCATATGGAACTGATAAAATAACATGTCTTGATTTTGATCTGGAATTTCTGTTTAATATATCTAGCCTTGATCATAAAATGCATTTCGCATCTTAATTGGCCTGTGTTTCTCATACCAGATCATGGCAATCGGGACGCTGGCATTATGCTATAACAACATTGAAGTCTTCAGAGGTGTGGTGAAAATGAGGCGTGGTAAGATATTCACCAGGGATATTTTCTATGGAACTGAAACCCAAGCCATGTCACGTTAACTAGTCATCCTAATTCACGAAACAATATTGTCTTCTCAATTGAATGGGTCTGGTGTAGGAGGTGCTAGCATAAGTTTATTCCTTCTTGTTGCTGCGTTGTAATAATTTCGTCCTGAACAGTGGTCACTTTAATATCGTCCAGGTCTCACTGCTAAAGTCATCCATCAAACAAAGACAATGACGGATGTTTATGGTGCTTTCTATGATTTTTCTCTCATGCTGAAAATGAAGGTATCATGCATCTGTGTAGTCAGTGGATATGTATATCACAGACCTCTTTGAGTTAGAATTCTTTTATTTCCCAAGAACACTTCAAATGACATGCAACGAATTCCTATTGTCAATTGTAGGTTGACAAGAATGATCCTAACTCAGCAAAAACCTTTAACAGACTGCAAGCTATCCAGAAGGCATGCAAGGACTCGGGAGTGTTAAACAAAAGGTTTTTCTGAACTGTTTCTACAAATATTTAGCTCAGTTTTTCTAACTCATGAATATTTTGTTGGTTTTGCCAGGAAATCTTACATTCAGAATGAGCAAAGATACAACTCCGCTCTGGTGAGTTCCTGAAAATTTTTCACATTTTGGGATTTTTACTCTTTAACTATCTTTGTTTTTTCTTTATCAATCAACAATGGATAAGAACCTATGATGTATTAACTAATCCCTCCCTGGCCTGCCCACCCTTTGGATCATTGCCTCGAGTGATTAATCGTTTAGCATGTCTAAAATGCAGATTGTCATACTTGTTATAGCGGCCATCATTTTTGCATATCTCTCAGCCAATCGACCAGACATCAACTGTAAGTTTCGTTGCTAGAATAATCAATGTTCTAGTAATCAATTACTCCTGAAAAGATCTGAAAGAAGATATTATTTATGTGCTTTTCTGTGAGATTTTTATTCTTTTTCGGTTTGTTCTTGCAGGATTACCCTGTTGCTTGATTGTTTTTACTCATCTGAGTGGATGATGCCCTGTTAATTCGTTTTCAGCTTTTTCATGTTTGCTTCAGTGATATTGTTTATGGCTCGGTATCTATCGGATCATACAATTCTGTTGTCCTTGCTTTTGTGGCATTGAAGGAGAAAGAAACTAAGCCAAAGCTTTTTTGTAAAGCAAATAAAACTGTTTAAAATTTTAATATCATATGCTAAATTTCACATCAACAGAGTCTCGATAAAACTAAAGTATTACAAGTTCTAGTTACAATCTATAATAAAAGTAATCAGACAGAAGTATCATCGTCATGATTGCAAATGATATGGAGACGTAAAAGCCAAACAAAAAGAAAGAAAAGTAAAATAGAAATAATCAGTAACTAATCTTGCAAAATTACAGATAGAAACTGGAAGGTTATATGTGGAAATAACTTGTGAGTTACGAGATTGCATATGTAAATTACTTTGCTGATCAATTAATTTCTGATTAGAGAATATCTAACCTGATCTTTTTCCTTTCTCTCTTCGGCTCTCAGCATTGTACCCTTTTGCTTTCCCCTGAGCTTACTGATCTTGGTCTTAAAGTGAAGGTGGATGAAAGAAGTAGTCGTGCAAAGCTTGTAAATATCTCAAGCTGGAATTTGATATACTTATTTTTTTTTCAAATTAAAAGTATTAAATATGTAAAGTATATATAAAAATAATTAATATTTTAAGAATTAAACAAGAGGGCTTCCATTTTAACATATATCAATTGCCTCCTTCGTTCTTCGACATGCATATACATATATACGTATACACACATATATGTATATATCGTGTATACGTGTATAAGACAATAAAAAGGGTTTTAAGTTAGACGATGTTGATTACAATAAAAAATCAGAAAGTATGGATTGAATTAATGATGAAAACATGGAGTAAAGCAGAGCAGATATAAGCTAAAACAGAGGCAAAAACAGTTTTATGGGCAAACATAGATAAACAAAGATAAGCAGTTTTGTGGGTTTAACTAGTTTTATGGGAAGTTTTATGGGTTGAATTAATTGATAAGTTCGCCGGAAAGTCGCCGGAAAGACTGCGGAAGAACTGGAGATGGAACCCGGTAAATTAACAGATAATATGGATTGTATAAAAGCTGTGGGCAAGGGGATTACTCATTTCTCTCTCTCTCCAACGAGCATGGCAACCAACAGCCTCAAGATCGCTGTCTTTTTATCACCGCCGGAGGCTGCTTGCCGGTGACAACCTCGCCGGAAAGATTATACACAAACAAATATTAAGGGTACTAGAGGAAGAGGTGCATCTTGGGGAAGATGCTATTTATCCTCGTAAAAAACGGTTCTTGGGATATATATATATATATATATATATATATATACATGCAAATTAGTGACGAAAACAAATTAAGAAACTAGGCAAAGCATGAAAAAGATAGAAGAAAACAATACATGCAAATCAGTACTTCGATTAGATTTCGTTTCCCTCTCAAAAGTCAAATGGAATCAAGAAACAACATAAAGAAGCAAAGAATATCAAAGAGTGATTATAAAAAGAAAAAAGATGAATTCAACTCTCCTAGCGCCAACCAAAGAGCAATGAAAAGTGAAGGTGTCCGATGGAAAGGCTCCGGAATTGGAAGAGGAAAGACCTGTCACCCTAGTGGGTAGTAGGCTCTATTAGGCATTCTTGGGTTTACAATCTGACCAGAAGAATTCCCACACTTTACGGCAACCATGAAAGGGTCTTCTATCTTGAACCGAAAGCTAGTCAACGTCAAGTGACTCTACTACCGCACCGGTTACCGATTTTCGTGAAAGGGCTTCCGATAGGGGTCGATTCATTTTCTCTATCGTTCGAGCACAGGTAGCTGATGATCAGCCGACGTGGGTTCTGATATTTAATTCACCGTCAAGGTTTCTTTGTCGAGAAAAAAAGAAACCTGACAGAAGGAGAAAAGTGACCTTGATGCTATACATTGTTATTTTCTGCACTGGGAATTTACGCCTCGACCGCTTAGAGGCGTGCGAGGCAACAAGGAACTCCCCAATAACGTTTTTGATGAGGATAAATAGCATCTTCTCCGAGATGCACGTCTTCCTCTAGTATCCTCAATATTTGTTTTTGTACTATATTTCCAGCGAGGTTGTCACCAGCTGCGGCCTCCCGCGGTGACAAAAAGGCTCTTTGCTTGCCATGCTCGATTTGGAGAGAGAAAGAGGGATGAATAAAATCCAAAACTAGTATTACCATCTAATGCCGTTGCTGTCCTACTTCAATTATTTATATACATGATGAAGCAATGAAACGGTGCCTTTTTAAGGCTTTGGTACTTTCCCATGAAAATTGACACGCTTATGTTAAAGTTTTTCTACACACGTATGTTAATTAAATGCCCGGAAGTTTTGGTAGAGTGCTATTCCATATTCGGAGATCTGAGGCAGAGTGAAATGGGGGTGATGCATGTAGGTATATATATATACACACACACACAGGTAGTCTATTAACACACGCGTATGTCAAGGATAAAAAAAAGAGTAGGTATACTCGTAGAACAACAGATAGAATGCGGCGGATCTTCAGACGACATGGAGTCTCCAGAATCGGTGGGGAAGCGAGAGGGTTGTACACAGGTAGGTGCCGAGGCAAATAGAAAAAGAAAACTCTCATCTTAATTATTTATATAAACGATGAAGCAATAAAACGGTGCGTTTAAGGAGATTGGGTCTGTCGTTCTTGTAATTCCCCATAAAACTTGACACGTGTATGTTAATTTTTTTTTTATACACGTGCGTGTTAATCAAATGCCGAGGAAGAATTTGTGGAGAGTGCAACGGGGGTGATGAATGTAGATATATATTTATATACACACGTATATAGACGTCACGTGTGGGGTGATGCATGTAGAGATATAGAGCTTTTATTATTTTAAATTTTTATTTTTGTTCTAATTTTATCATAATCTTAGTCTCTTTATTTTTTTCATTTCACAATTATTGACTATAACAATTTATACAATCTTTCAACTCAAATTTAATTTATTTTTTTAATATAAAATATTATATATATATATGATACAACTTAACTTTAGTCATTAAGTCTCGACATAATTTTAAAAAAAAATAATAATTTGTGTGTGATTTAGAATATAATATAAATAAAATATCATTTTATTTTAAATAAATTTTATATTAAATAATTTTATCACCATCTCAAAGTAAATTTTTTGGTCAAATTTTTTTTTCTTATTTCACGAATGAGAATATTAAATCTATCGTTATGGAATGGAGTAATTATATATAAAATATATAAATTACAACTGAGATTTTATATAGAAATATTTAATATGAGAATAAAATAGGAAAAATCAAATTTGTATTATATTATTTATTTGTGCATTTAATTCTAACCCAGTCTCCAATAAATCCAAATGAATTCAGTCCTCCATTTTAACAAATTAGAGTCGCCTTCATCATTCTACGGCATGCATAAACACATATACACTTATATATTTACACACACACACACACATATATATACACATATATCGTGTACAGGTATTAATGTATATAAGGAAAAAAGGGTTTCAAACAAAATGATGTTAACTAAAATAAATATATATATATACACACAGGTATACACACACACACATATATAGATGGTGTATATATATTAATGTAAATAAGGAAATCAGAGGATAAAAAAGAAGAAACCATATACGCAAATCAGTAATTCTCTTATTACTTTTTGAATTGAGAAATATTTTTGCGAGTACATGATGGAGAGAAAAGATGAATTCAAATCTCTGAGCATCAGTCTAAAAGAACTGACAGGAAAAAAAAAAGTTAACCACGGCGGCTCAGAGGCGAGCGAGATAAAAAAGGGCGTGGGTTCTGATTCCGATAGTAATAAATACTCTCTTCCCTAAAACATGAGTCTTCTTCCTCAATGATCCTCAAAATCTGCTTACGTGCAAACCTCCGATTCCCCACCAATTCTGAAGGCTCCGTATCAATCGATTGAGCGCTTCCCATTTGTTTTTCTTTCAAAGTCTTTCCGGCAATCTTGTCACCGGTTGTGGTCTCTGGCCTTGATAATAAGACGTTGTGTTTAGGTTCTTTAGTCGTCGTCATCGTAGAGAAAGGGAAATGATTAAAATCAAATACCAGTTCAATCATCTACGCTGTTGGTACTGTAACTTAATTATTTATATACATCTTGAAAACAATGAAACGGTGCGTTTTTGGTACTTTTCAATAAAAATTCACACATGTATGTTAATTATTTTTTACACACACGTGTTAATTAAATGTAGAGGAAGAGTTCTGGGAGACCAGTATTTTTCTTTTTCCTTTTTTTACTGTGGCGAGAGGTTGATTAATATGATGAGTATATAAATGAAGACAATTTTGGTGGGCTTGATGAGTGTAATTTAATATAATACATTTCTTGATATTGGTTTGCTAGGTTATTTACATTGAGCTGCCTATGTTGCTGATTTAATTGACTAAATATTTTATAGATCACTAAAATAATTTACAAAATAATACTAAGAACATAGATAATTGGACTAGTATTGGATTTTAATTATCTCCCTCCCTCTACAATGACAACCAAAGAACTTAAAGACATCGTCTTGTTATCATGGATAGAGGCCACAACCGGTGACAAGCTTGCGAGAAAGTCTTTGGAAGAAAAACAAATGGGAAGCGTCCAATTGATTGATAAAGAGTCTTCAAAATTTGTGGAGAATCGGAGGTTTGAGCACAAACAGATTCTGATGATTATTGATGAAGACACCCTTATAAGAGAAGATAATATTTGTTACTGTCAATATCGGAACCGACATCATTATCACGAACGAAGTAAGAAGACAATCTCCAAGAATCATAAACATAAAATTTATATGAGATGCAAATATGCTATATTAACCGTAATGGTAACCATAAAGACAAATAAATTGTCTAACCTTATGCTTGAAACACAAAGACATTAATGGATATCAATTTTTTTTTTCTTCGTTCAATAAACTTTAGTGATTTCTCTCTTAAAATGGTTTAGGATTCTCCAACAGTTTATCTCCTCTATAGTTCAATTTTTGATTGTTCATCTAATCTTCTTGTAATCTCTATAATTTAAAAATTCACATTTTGCTTTCATTCTTTAACATCTCGTATACGATATTAATTTAAGTTATTTATAATTAATTTAGATGGAGTTGAAATTATCCTATTTATAAACATGTATATAATACATATTTTACATTTGATTTATCTCTAAATAATTGATGACTCCCTACTATATTATCACGTCAGCAGATAATAAATTTTCTTTGAAAAAATTTATTTTTAAATTGTTTTTGCTTAAATATATTGTGATAAAATTGGAGAGAATATTATTTCGTTATATATTAGATACGTAAATTATATATAAAAATAATTACTATTTGAGAATTAAATAAGACTAAAATAAATAAAACCAGATCCAGCACTCATTTTTATTAAGTGGAAGAACCGGAGATCGAACGCGGCCAATCTTCAGGTAAAATAGAGTACGTAAAGTCTGTGTGTAAAGGGAGGATTGTCCACAGACAGATCTTAAGAGTAATAGAAGAAGACGTGCATCCTGGGAAAGATAGTTTTATGGTAGTGTAGAAAATGATATGGGTTGAATTTGTGACCAAAAAAAAAAATTAATAAACTAAGCAAAGCATAAAAAAGAAAGAAGAAAACAATACATGCAAATCAGTAATTCTATTATTACTTTTTGATGGAGAGAAAATTCCAAATTTCCTTTCTCTCCCGAATGTCAAATAGAATCAAGAAACAACATAAAGAAACAGAGAAAACCAAAGACAAATCATAAAAGAAAAAAAAAAAAAGATGAATTCAACTCTCCTGGTGCCAAGAAAAGGGCGATGAGAAGTTAACGGAGAGAGCTTTCAAGTGAAGATGTCCGATCAAAAGCCACCGGAATTGGAAGAGGAAAGATCTGTCACCCTAGTTATCTTTATTAGGCATTCTTGGGTCTACAACCTCACTAGAAGAATTCCCAGACTTTACAGCAACCATGAAAGGCTCTTCTATCTTGAACTGAGAGCTAGTCAACGTCAAGTGACTCTTCTGATAGAAAAGAAGAAAACCTGACAGAAAAAGAAAACTAATCTTTGATGCTATATATTGTTATTTTTTGCATTGGGAATTTACGCCTTGACCGCTTAGAGGCGAGCGAGGCAAGAAAGACCTCCCCAAGAACCCTTCTTGACGATGATAATGATAACTATCATCTTTCCCAAGATGTATGTCTTCTTCTATTAACCTTAAGATCTGTGGGTGCACAATCTTCCCTTTAAATACAGACTTTACGTACTCTATTTTACTCGAAAATTGGCTGGGTTCAATTTCTGGTTGTTCCACATTTTTTCCGGCGACCTTGTCACCGGCTGCGGCCTCCTCCGGTGGTAAAAAGACGCAATCTTGAGGCTCTTTGGTTGTCATGCAGAGAGAGACGAATAAAGTCCAATTTGTATTTGGGGAGAGAGAGGTGATGAAAAGAATAGATGTGCTCGATTTGGTAGAGTACTGATTTATTTATACATAAAGCAATGAAACGGGGCGTTTAAGGAAACTGCGTCAATTGTTTTGGTAATTTCCCAGAAAAATCCACACGTGTATGTTAATTTTTTTTTTATACACGTGTGTTAATTAAATGCAGAGGAAGAGTTTCGGGAGACTGCTATTCCATATTCAGAGATCAGAGGTAGAGTGAAATAGGGGTGATGCATGTAGATATACATATATATACATATACACGCAGTGTGTGTACTGTTTCAGTTCATGTATATCGATTTTATATATACATATATAAGCTTGCCGGTGCTGATTTGTGAAATTTGGTTGGAGAGGTTTGAAGATTGGTTTGGAAATCTTGTTTCCGCAACAGATGTTCTTCAGCCGCTGTTCTCTGCTTTAGGGTCATCTTGTTTCTAGATTTCTTTATTGGGGGTATGAGGTTGGCTAATTGAACAAGAGATTGAGCAGGCATGTATCCATATATATATATATATGCATATATACATATGCATATATATACAGATTGGTTAGTGGAATTTAATATAATTCATTATTTATATTGATTTATTAGGTTATTAGACACACGTGTAAAAAAAAGTTTAACATCCTTAAACGCACCGTTTCATTGTTTTATCATGTATATAAATAATTCAGTGCCAATGGCAGGTTCAGAATTGGTAATATCCAGCTTCCAACTCCACTGCTCGCCCGATCGATAAGCTCCACAGACTTTAGAGATTCCATCTTATACGATCTGCCGCGTTCTGTATTTTGTTCTTCCGCAGCATTTCCAGCGAGTTTGTCACTGGCTGCCGATGAGCTTACTACTATAAATATTATTGAAACCCAAGACCTCAAGCGTTAATTTGAACCGGGTTGTCTTTTATGAGTTTAAAGACGCCATTGGGTTGTTCCCCGTTGAGATATTCAACTCTAAGATTTGTTGTTTTATTATTTTGATATGAAGCCAGAAGTATTATACAAATTTTCTAAACAGAAATCTTGCCAAGAATACCAAATTGTGATTTGCCCTCTCCAAAATTTTCTCCTAATGCAAACTCATTATGTCATAAAATCAGTCATCCCCAATTGAGATAAAAGTAACGACTTTTGAACAGTTCTCATCAAATAAACCATTAGTTCTTTCTACTAAAATCAGCTGCTATACTTCAGATTTTTTTAAGAAGCTTCGTCAACTTTTGGATCTATTTTCTTCATGTTTCAGTGAGGGATTTATGGTTGACTTAAATCTATGCAATGAAAAGGGATGTTAACAAATCGAATGAAGCTCTCCTCGAATCAATTAGCAATATTAACAAATAAACAAGATTTTGCTCACGTTCTTCCTTGCAGCCAAAAACAAATAAATAAATAGGATGTGAAAGGTATTCACATAACAATAGGAAGAAAGCAAAACTGTTGGTATCTATATCACATGTCAAAAACTAGAGAAAGGATTAAGTGATCCTCTATTTGTGACAATACATGCTCCCCTACCCTTTTGAATACAAACCAGAGCAAAACATACACACAAGAAACTGTCTCGTTGAGACGCCAACTTTTCATTTCTAAAAGACCTCAGCCATCTTGCTTGCTAGAACACGTTCCCTTCTCTCAATATATCCAAACGGGAACCAACCTGCTTTGCCCTTGCATTCTCCTTCCGCCCATCCATTATTTGTCACCTGCCAAAGAACAACGAAGATGAATGATTCCTGGTATTGGTTCCGTAGATGTGAAAGTGGAACAAGAAAATATTCTGTTGTCTGCAAACCTTTCGGACAACAACATAATCACCGACTGCCAAGCTGAGCTCCACATCAGATTCAGCTTGATATGAATGCATGACCTGCAGGAAAATGATAAGTGAGAAAAAAAAAACACAAAAGAAACAATAGCAATGAAAATTGAACAGCCATCAAAAGAAACTTGCTTGTTCTAATTTAGACACTAACCTCTCCTAAGAAGTACCCCATGCTGTCTGTTGTCCCATTATGAGTTGGAGAAGCATATACACCATTTACTTCCTCATATGATGGTGGTGGAGGCATGCTATCCATACTTGGAGCAGGTGGTGCTTCAATTCGTTGCCGCTCCGATATCATCTATCAATAACAAAATATCCATATGTGATAAGCATAAAAAGACAAAGACAAAGCATAGTCATTTAATCATCAAACCAATTTCAAGGATACAAGCATCATAAATAAGACATCATAACATCATTGCAGACCTCGCCTTCAAGCTGATCAAGTATCTGAAGGGCTCTTTGATGGTAAGCACGTTCAGCTTCAACCTTTAATCCAGAATAAGAGAAGGAATAATTTTTTCATAATCGACCTGATATAATAAATATCATCAAAAACAAAATAGATATTAATTGCACTACCATAGCAATCAGTCGCTGAAGAGTCAACCTCTGTTGTTGAGCTTCAACAGCAGCCATTGCTGCAGCAGCCTCCTTCCCCAATACTGCCATATTTGACTTCAGTTCTTGCAGCTTTGCTTCAGCAGATTCTAATTTCATTAGACTATCAGGATGTCCTGGTGTTTCCCTGGCCTTTGCTTGGCGTTTGGAAACTTCAATGGCCTGTCTAGGTTAAAGAAAGTGTGAATATAACTTTTAAGAAAATTATGTTCAATTTGCTTTAATAACTGTTAATCTCTATTCATATTGCAGACAGACACACAGAAACACGTATTCTCAAAGAAATCCACATATTTGGACATATGAATGAATAAAGCTCTTGATGATTGCTTGATAGAAGACAATGCACTGCAGTCTGCATGTATCACCACCAAGGGTTGGTCCCTCTATACAATAGATAGCAGTATTTTCCAGCAAAAGAAGATAGCTCAAACACACATTGGATACAGACACACAGAAACACATATTCTCAAAGAAATCCACATATTCGGACATATGAATGAATAAAGCTCTTGATGATTGAATGATAGAAGACAATGCACTGCTGTCTGCATGTACCACTGCCAAGGGTTGGTCCCTCTATATAATAGAGAACAGTATTTTCCAGCAAAGAAGATATCTCAAACACACATTGGATACAGACACACAGAAACACGTATCCTCAAAGAAATCCACATATATGGACATATGAATGAATAAAGCTCTTGATGATTGCATGATAGAAGACAATGCTCTGCTGTCTGCATGTATCACCGCCAAGGGTTGGTCCCTCTATATAATAGAGAGCAGTATTTTCCAGCAAAAGAAGATATCCATGACATTGTTTGAGATCACATAATATTTCAATTTTCAGGTGCATCATAAAACACAATTTCTTAGACTACCTGTGCTTCAGCCTCTTGGCGCATTCTGTCATAACGTTGAGCAAGATGCCTAGCATCCTCCAATGGGGCTCCCATTACCATTGCCCTTAATGGTTCTGCAACCTAAAATAAGCATTCAATACCACAGAAAGCAAATTACTAATCAGTTATAACAAAAGGAGAAAGATGCAACATGCAAACTAAAAAGGAATAACATACTTCTTTTCGTGATACTGTGTTTAAAGTTACGTACACAAAAAACACAAACTAGTAACTATAAAAGAATAACATACTTTCTCTATAGTTGCAAGTTCAAAAGTTAGATATAAATAAATACCAGTATGCTACTCAAACCTAGAAATGGGTTATCAATTCAGATTGAGACCTGTTATGTAGTCACTATTAAGTTATTCATACAAAAAATCAGCCAATACATCTAGGAGAATGAAGTTCTTTTTTTTTTTTTTGAGATAAAAGTATCTAAGAGAATGAAGAATGAACCTATAGAGATTCTATAACCCTACGTCAAGGATACGTGAATATATAGATATAGAGAAAAGGAGGGGTGGGGCCGGTGGGAGAGAGAGTATACATCATTCAATATGAGTAGTGTAGCAGTTTAAAGTTCACAACATACTCATCGTTAGGTGTTAAATATATCATCCTACATACTTTACTTTCTGTGTCGCTTGTAATTAGTGCATTAAGACTAATCACATCGTAATTTTCACTATGACAAATAAAAGAAAATAATGATTTTGATTTACTTCTTTTTTCATCACAAAAAAATACAATGCTGTTTTGATCCAACCAGTGGTAACATTTACATGATGGTGTCAAGACTGTAGTGTTGGAAAACAATACTAACTGAAATTGAAGGTTAGCACTATATTTGACACAACCAAAGCGTAATCCATAACAGAAAGAACATATATGTCAAGCAAATATAAAACATTCTGATGTTATAAAATCTAAATGGCCAGCAATGGATATCAAGAAAACCATTCCAAACAGTTCAAATTTTAAGGCAACAGTTTTATAAAGAAGAGTTTACGTGTATTACCATTCAAAAAAGGTTTAAACTTACAATAAATTCATCAGCCATCAGATAAATCCTTCAGATACCATTTTCACAGTATTCTATTGTCTAGTTATGCTGTTCTAGCGAAGAAATAAATGGACAAACCTGTGTACCAAGAGCTTTCAACAGATTCCCTCGTTCCTTCTCCATCTGAGCACGACCACGTCCAAAACTTAATGCAGCTTTTGACAATGTATGACCGCTTGTGCATGTATTTTCAGCACCATATTTCCTACTATCCTCGGATAACTTTGTTCCTACCAACAAAATAATCATAAACAGAAAAGAATTCAAAACCTTAAAACTCCAAAGTAGATCAAAAATTAACATCAAATCCTTCACCCTCTCACCTATTTCAACCTGTTTAGACCCATAGACAATATATCCTTCTACACCCCGAAAAATATCTCTTTGAAAATGCTGAAAAAGAAATGTTTGTTAATCAAGATGTCAAACAATGAGATCAAATTTTACCAACAGGACAGCCCTACAACCTTCCCAGCACGAGTGGATATATACAGCTTCTCGAGCTTCTGATGTTGATGAAGTTCTGCCTCATCAGTAATTACGTGTCAGAGCCTCCATATCCCCCTCCCCCAAACTGTTTGAGACAGCCTGTAAAACATTCATAAAACCTAATTATTATCCTTCTCATCCGAAAGCAGAAAATAAAAGCACAAATTATGCACATTTCAAGTCAAGTAGTTAAGCAAAGCAAGTAATCACTGATATCGGAGAGAATCTGAAGTGTGCATGAGCTCCACAAGTTACCAGTAAAGATCATAGTAAGCACGAAAACCAACGTTCTCAATATGATACAAAGCCATACGAGCCAGTAGTCAGAAAAGCATGCCAGGATGATATCATAAATGCATCCCTTTGGCAGCCAACACCACACCTTATACCAGATTCTGCAATTTTTCAATCCCTAGATATTATAGGATGCTGATGAAAATTCATTTCCTCCTCTGTCTTCTGCATGAATTTACACAAATATGCAGGATGGAAACAGTGCAATTACAACAACTCCCATAAGAATTTTAAGGATCAGCATCGAACTTCAATCTAAAAAAGGATTTGCTTCACTAAATTGAAACATAACATGGTGAATCAGTTTATCATTCCATGTTTCACCAGAACATGTTCGTCAGTTCATCGCGCCAATACATATTTCTAGCTCTAAAAAGTTTTTGTATAAAACAAAAAGAATGAACATCAGCTTATCAAAAGCTCTACAAATTAATGAAAGAAAAAACAGCAGAAACTCAAGTGACTCTGAAATCACCGAAGCTAATCGAAACAATCATTTCATAGATCCATCGTTCAAACTCATGTTATAAATTTGACCTAGTTGATCATAACCAAGGGAACACGTATAAAAACATCGGTACAATCAGCAAAGAAAAATCGATATCAGCTAGGTACAAAATAAGAAGACAAACAAAGACCAATCAGCGATTGAAAAAATCAAACATGTCGGATTCCACAAAGAAATCGTGGATATCCAGCTGAGGAATCGTAAATGCATTTCGATCTAAAGCGTTTCTGTGGAGAGAAATTAGGGTTCCAATTGGAGCAAAGTAACGAAGCGGAGAGAAAAACTGGAACCTGTTGTTGCCTGGCGACTTGTTCTCTGAGCCTCGTAGCTTGTTTTCTGATAGCCTCCATTCACCAGATAATTTTCCTCTTCTTCTTTACCCTTCCCGTTTTCAGATGCTTCGAGTTTCAGGGCTTCTGATTTCCCTTATTCAGAGAGAGAGAGAGAGAGAGAGAGAGAGAGAGAGAGACAGGATTTGAAATGAAATGAGGTGTTCGGCTTGGGCAAAACTTTTGGCTTTGGGAATTTCGGTACTTCATAGTACAAAAGAAATGGAAAACCCAGGAGAGAGTATTAGGGTGAGGGCGTTCACATTTTAGTTCCGTAAGTTCGTTTTCTTGTTTCCTTAAACACCTGCTCTTTATTTTTGGCTTTTTTTAAATATTTTTATGTTATTTATTGATATATCCATTTAGAAATTTGAAGTTAATAATAAAAAATTATCTAATATTAATTTATATAAAGAATATCACAAATTACCATGTGTTCGTTCTTTATTTTTAAAAAAATAAAATTAATATAAGTTTTAATAAAAAATCTAGTTATTATTTTAAAAATAAAACCGATATTTTTTTATTAAAATTTATTTTATTTTATACAATTTTTATTTATGTAAATCAGTATTTATTTTATTTTTGTACAATTATAAGTAATACTATTTTTTATATGATCAGATTATAACGAGATAATATTTTATTTAATCTTAATAAACTTTATTTATTTTAGTATGCGTATATTTTATGATGTTTAGTTTAATATATATTTATTTAATTATTAAGTAAACTTATATATTTTACCTAATTTTAAATTTCAACAGTTAAAAAATAAATATAATTTAAAAAAAAAACAGTGGTATTTCAATTTACATAAGTACATATGTATATATATATAGATATATCATATGATATTAATAATTATGTTTTTCTGCCTTCAAATAACTTATACTCAAAGTAATTTCATTATCATTAAACTTATAAGTATACACAAACTAATGTTGCATAATAATTATTCTTTTAGGATCTAAAAAGCAACACATTTGGTCGCTTGCAAATTAAGTTTTGGTCTATAATCTTATGATTGAAGTTTGTTGTAAACATTATATGGCATGCATATAATTACTTTTAATATCTTTGTTGCTTTTCAAAGGGAAGAGCCAAGTCCCCTCTCTCTCT